CCAGTGCTCCGCAGGGAGCGTTTGGAAGGCACGCATTTGGCTGAATGGAGGGGTGGTGATGCTCACGTTGAGGGGTGCTCCCAGTGTTGATGTGAACCTCAGCTCTGGGTGAGGCCAGCCCGTGACCGCTGCCTTAATCGTGCTGCACAAAACGGACCCTCCTGGGTAGACACAAGCCCTGTAGGTGCCATCGCTGCCCAGACTGGGACAGGTACCCTTAGTAAGAAAAGCTTGCTGGGCACAGTGATCACCCCAGGCACTATCGTTACTGAAGAATACTTTCCACAGGTAAATCATTCATGTGGCCAAAGCGACAGGTTTTCACACTGCAGCACAACTGTGTCAATACTGACTCGCTCCATTAACTGCTTTCCCCTGGTCAATGTAATAAATATTAACTGGGTCAATTTTTAACATGAGATTCTTCTTTGTTCAGGTAGATGGCCACTGAGGACTGAAAATCTGGCCTTGTCACTCCCCCTCCTTCCCAGTGATCCTGCTTATTGCAAAATAAGTAGGGAAGGGGCATAATTCTCTTCTGGCTAGAAGGTCTGCTCTGAATTCTGACCTATTGCACAATTAATTTGATCCCATGAATCAAAGTTGTTTCTGGGAGAGGCTGTGCCCTTTCCTCCTCTGCTGTCCTGTAAAAAAGTAGTTTCTTTAGACTAAATGCAGGAAATAGGTAACCTTTACCTGTGGAGGTGACTGGAGGGAGGCCTGTGGCTGTGTCTTCTTGACCTCTGTCCCCAGGGCACAGAGAGTAGCTTCTAACTGGAAAAACAACAGAACTCCTCACCTGCCCTCTGGAGAGGCAGCGTGGCACTTAGCAGTGTTTACATACTGCGTGGCTCTGGGAAGCCTGGAATGACCCACTGGCAGTGGCTTGGAGCTCTCTACAGGAACCTGCTAAGGCAGTTTGCACATGTCCATCTGCCATGGGTGGCTGGACAGGGGGTGTGAGTTCCTAACACTGAGCAGCCTTCCTGGGAACAAATTCAGGATGCATTCAACAGAGCTATGCAGATAGAAACCCACATAAGCGAGGACACCGCTGCCTAGTTAGCTTTCAGAAACTTACCTCAACAGCTAAGGACTCTTAAGTCACTCCTGTTCCCAAAGTGATTCCCTCTCCTGTCCGTATCTTGAGTTTCTCTGGAGCATCTGCAAGGTTCTTCCTCTCCCTGTAATCCCTCAGGCCTTTCAGCATGGCCCAGCTCTTGGTACAAATGGAACACGAGCCGCTCGGTAACTGAACAGAACGGTTTTTAATAGAATGCAGTCCGCAGGTGCTTCATCAACCTGCACAGCAGATACTGTATGAAGAGGTTGGTCCCTCTGTAAGAGCCACAGCAGTGGCAGCACCACTGAAGTTTTCCCATTTTGGCTGTACTGTTCTTGGATGTGAATCTGTAAATAAATTCTAGCAGAGTGAGCAAAACAAGCACGTGACAGAGGCATTTTTGAGTTCATATTCTGGGTATGTCATCTTCTAAGGCCAGACATCCATCTTCTCTCCCTGTCATCTTAGCACCAGGTTAGATTAGTTTGTTAATCTATTCTTCACATTGCTGTAAGGCCTCCCCCGACGTGTGGTGTCCACACTCAGTAAGGGTTAGCACTGTGTTAGTGCTGCGGGCCTCTGGGCAGCTGAAGTCTGCGCCCTGATAAGGGCAGATGGATTCTTCACATGAAAGAACAGTGAAGAGGCACCAGATCCCAGGAACTGGGCAGTTCCCAAGGCTCCTGCCTGTAGCCACAGGAGGCTGCTGTCCCTGTCAGCCCCCTGGCAGTGGCAGCTCCCCCCTCTCATACCCGAGGCAGGTAGATGGTAACCCACCTCCTGCTGGTGCAGCAGCAGCTGAGGCAGCATGTTCGACCTTGCAGCAGAGCTGCTCAGTGGTGGGAGCAGAAGGTAGCAGTACAGAGGCTTCCTCACACGCCTTCACCTTCCTCCTCCTCTTCTGTGCTCTGAGAGCCTTTGTCCTCTGAGGGCAGAAGAGGCTGGTGCTGACATGACTGATGTCTGTCTGCACTCCTCCATGAGGCATGCAGGTCTGTCCTGCCCTGCTGGAGGAAGAGGGGCAGGAGGTTGGGGGTGAAGGGCATGTCCCTGAAGGCGTGCAGGAGGAAGATGCCAGACACGATGGTGAGAAAGCCGCTGATGGTGCCGATGATGTTGTCCAGCACCATGTGTTGCCACTCCTTGAAGAGGATGGCAGAGCACATCATGACTGCTGTGGTGAACAGCACGTAGTAAATGGGTGTGACCACAGATGTGTTGAAGATGTCCAAGGCCTTGTTCAGGTAGTTGATCTGGATGCTGATGCAGATCACCAGGCACACCAGGAGCACCCAGCCCAGTGGTTCTTTCAGGACTGGCTTCCCAGAAAACAGTTCTTTCAGGGCAATTCCCAAGCCTTTGACGCAGGACACAGAAAGTGAGCCGATGGCGGAGCATACCAACACATAAACCAGGACGTTGCTCTGTCCGTAACGGGGTCCAGCCACGAAGATAAGCAGAAGGGAGCTCACCAGGACACACACAGCAAATACAATGAATCCTTGGGGAAAGAAGAATTAAAGATCTCTACCAGAGAACAGGAGCACCAGTGACAAATGTAACTGAACAGCAAGTAGAGATGGAGGTCTGGGAAGGTGGCAGAAGGCTTGGGAAGCCCTAGCTGAACTCTGTGGGCTCTGGTGGGATAGAGGGGAAAGCACCACATCACAGGAGTACAAGGCCCTGCCAGAGCACTTCTAATGAGCAGCAGCATCCACCTGTTACTCTGCTTTGCTCCTCTCCTGTGCTGTTTCTTTCACATTTAAAGTGTGGAGACCCCAGTCTATCCCCACCACAGAAGGCAACCCACAAGCTATCCTGGGCACAGGGGAATGTTTCCTCCACTGGTGTACAGAGTAAGAAACAGCTCAACTACTCTTCAGTTCAGTTCTTTCCAATCTGTCCAAGTTGTATCTTACCTTCTCCTGCCATTTCCAAGCCTGAATTGATAGGACCCTTTATATTTAAGTACCTGGATCTTTCAGCTTTTCTGCCATTGACTCCAGGCTGGAAACTTCTTCTCCATGTGGAGCATGGATCACCATCACTGTGGAGCCCAGGATACTCAGGGTGCAGCCAATCTTCCCATGAACATTCAGCTGCTCATTCAGGAAGGTGGAAGACAAAACTGCACTGAAAGTAAAAAAAACCCAGACCAATTAAGCCAAAAGATGGAGCACCTGAGGGAAGAGATGGAGGAAAGCAGAGCAACTGCTTTCACCACTAAGGGGTGGTAGGTGAGGTAAGGGTGTTTGTGAGGCTGCTTACCTAACAAGGACACTCAGAGCTCCCAGTGGAGTTACCAGCGTTGCAGGGGCAAAGGCATAGGCAGCAAAATTTGCTGCTTCTCCAACTCCCACTGCAAGAGAAACTCTGTCAGGTGGGCATCAAAGTAGGAGCAAGTCAGCATAATACAGGTTTGAGAGCAGTCAGAAGGGAGCCTCAGTTTCCACCTGAGCATCCCATGTTTCTCTGAGGTTATGTTGTGCAATCAGGAAAGAACAGCACCAGCAAGAACAAGCAGAAACCTGACAGAGGTTCTCCTGCAAAGGCTTGTGGTTTTGCATGGTGATCCTTAATCACATTAGCAGTAACCACACGAAAATATTTCCATAATGTTCTCAAAGCTGAAAGAAGTTTTGAGCCATGTTTCTAAGTCATGTTCTTGTCCTTTCAGGACAAGCTTTTACATCTTTTTAAAGGGTAAATCAAGTACAATTGATTAATAACATTGAAAAGTGTAAACCAGAGCTCCTGAAATTGCTGTAGCACTAAACCCACAGTGCTGGATGTGCTGTTATAACTACATTGTCTGGACGGGCCATGTCAGAAGCACTTAACTAAGTCAGCGCTTCTCAACTCCTGTTTAAGCAAAGAAACCTGGTAATGCATGAGGATTTAGAATATACAGAGTTATATCAACAGCATCCTCAGACGCTCAGATAAAAATCAAGCAAGCAATGTTCATAGTAATAAAACACAAAAGCAACTGGAAACCATGACTAACACACTCTTAGGTGTGTCCTTACACAGTTTCAGAGCGGGTACTTACTGCAGAGCAGCCCTGCCCACCAGAGCCATTCCCGCAGGTACGCGTGACCTCCTTGTCCTAAGTAAGAAAGAGTTAACAAGAAACCTCATATCATCGCTCTCTACAACTACCTGAAAGGAGGCTGTAGTGAGCTTGGGTCAGTCTCTTCTCCCAAGTAACAAGACAAGAGGTAACAGCCTCAAGCTGCACCAGGGGAGGCTTAGGTCAGATATTAGGAACAACTCCTTCCCCAAAGGGTGCTCAGGCACTGGAACAGGCTGCCCAGGGCAGTGCTGGAGTCACCGTCCCTGCAAGTGCTCACACACCGTGTACATGAGGCCTCAGTGCCAGGGGTTAGTGGTGGCCTTGGCACTGCTGGGGAGTGGTTGGACTTGATGATCTTACAGGTCTTTTCCAACCTGGTTGATTCCATGATACTATAAGCTACCCAACAGGTCTGAACAGCACCGGAGGAGGCTGCCTGGGCTCTGCCTGCCTTGTCACACACCGGCCATGGGCAAGCACGGATTGTTTTACGCTAAAAGCACAGACTTGATCCCGGTTTTGCGTTTGAAGGAGCAGTTTCAAGGACGCGTTCCATGAACGTGTCTGCGTGGCTACGGGCGCTGCCCTGGGGAAGAAGCCCACTTTTGGACCGAGCAAGGAAGAGG